TTCCACCATTTTGTAAGATTCACTGCCCCTTCAGGTCACACCATATAAAGGGGGCTAACTTAGTGCCCTGGGGCTCCTGAAGAGAGCTCAGAGCTCTGTTCTGGAGTCCTACAGTGCTGGGGAGATAGCTGTCAAGATGCAGCTGTTATGCTTCTGGAATGACCCCCTCCCCCCATATGGGCATCCAGTCAGGTTTCCAGGGGTTCAGGATCTGCATAGACATGTGCTAACATCTGCTTGACTTTGTGTGGATTGCATCCTGCCTTGTGCAATACTGCTTGGTAGACTCTTGCTGCTAGAAGCAACTGTGTTTGTGTCTTTTGCTTAAGGCAACCAACCAGCCAGGGAACAGGTGATGTGTCAAAGATCGCGGTCATTCTGGTAGTGAGGAGCGTTAACTGCTTGGCACCTTCACTAGCGGCTGATTCCCACTTTCTGGGACTGGACCAACGGCACAGAGTGCCTAAGAACCCAATCTGAAGTCACAGGAGAGAGTGAGGAGTATTAGGTCCCTCAGATAATAGAGAGAGAGTTTTTCCTGTATTCAGTAGCAACAGTGGATATGTCACTGGGAGTGAGGTGACAGATATTGATGGGTTGGTAGAGACCCGTACAGGCTCTGCGGTACTGGTCCCTAAATGCTGCACATAGGTGTTCTCTAACAACTAGTTGAGCCTAGAGTTCTGAGTGTTAACAGTATAACAAGCTTAGGCAGGGGTTACAGAGAGTTAACTACGCAAGTGCTGTTCATTTCTAAGTTTGGGACATTTGCCTTAATGTTGATTTCACATGACCGCAGCTCCCTGCCTATGTTTAGGTATTGGACAGTGCAGTTTCACTGTGTCCCCACAAGGGCGCCTTAAGCCCCACCCCCACACAAAAAGCAATTCGGACAAAATTTTAATTATTCAGAGCTTTGGATGTATTCAAATAACAGTAACAAATTTGAACGAATCCAAAATAAATTAAAACAACAATAATTTGTTTCATTCAGATGTTTTATGCATCCAGAATAAGAAATAATACAAATTTCTCTTTAGCTGGTTTTTAGGGAGAAACCATCACAGAGGAGGAGAAAACATGCCGGGCTTGAGGCCAGTCACTACAATGAAGGCTGCCTAAGGATTGCACACCGTTGCACCCCAGAAAATCCGGATTGTCAAAAATAGGAGAGAGGGGACTAGGGTCAGAGGAGAGAGCATAAGTGAGCCTATACTTGTACCAAATGTATAAGGCAGCTGAGGTGAGAGGGGAGAGAACCTGCAAAGACCTATAGGAGTGTTCATAGCTCCATAGAAGGGCTCGAAGGTCATATGGGGACATTGCCCTCTCGATCGCATTAGAGGCCTTAGTGTAAGGACCAGCAAACCAGTCCAGTAGATGAGCTAGAATCGTGGCTATATAATAACGTTCAAAATCTGGTGGTACGCCCCCCCCACAAGCTTGGGTAAGCATAAAGTTTGAAGTTTAATTCTAGAGACCTGTGTACGCCAAATAAATTGAGACGAAAGTGATCGAAGTAGTGAAAAAAGGAAGAAGGGAGAACAATGGGTAGGGTTAGGAAAAGATAAAGGAGCTTTGGCAAAATGTCCATTTTAAGAGCATTTTTCTTCAGAAAAAGGGAATGGGTTTGGAGTTCCAAGCATCCAAATCTCTACTAATTTGAGATAGCAAAGGACCAAAATTCAAAGAGTAGATGTCAAAAAGATTAATGGGTATGACATTACCTAGATACTAAAGAGAACGTTCCAACCAATGAAAGGAAAAATTAAAACGTAAGAGGCGGAAGGTAACAGATGGGAGCAATATTTTTAGTGCCTTGGTTTTGGAAATGTTGAGTTTGAAATTAGAAAGGTCACCAAACCTCTTGAACTTGTGGAATAAAGAGGGTAGGCTGGTGTGAAGTAGATGTAGTCTCTCAGGGTGCAGAACACGCCACATGTCGACCACCATCAATCTGTGAAGGAAGGACTTTATCCTCCGTAAAGAAGAGTAGGACATGGAAGACTTACCAGAGGAAGAGTCGAGCATGGGATTGAGGACCAAATTGAAGTCTCCTCCCAGAACCAGAGTTTGAGTACCAAAAGTCTCCAACCTCCCACTAATGGTTGAGAAGAAATGTGCTTGATCCTGGTTGGGGAAATAAATGTTAACAAAGATAAAAATAGCATTCGCAATTTTCAGTTTGAGAAAGACATAATGACCCAAATCATCTATAAGTGAGTCAACAATCTCAGGGGTGAAGGACCTATGAAAAGCAACTGATACACTTTTGGATTTGCCTGCAGGATTAGTGCTATGGTACCAAACTGGGTAATATTTACTGTTAGGAGCTGGGACAGAGTTAGTACGAAAATGAATTTCCTGTAAGAACAGGATCATAGTTTTACGTTTATGGACATGATATAAAATCCGAAGTCTCTTCTCAGGGATATTAAAGCCTCTGCAATTATAGGATGAGAGGGACAGATAAGAGTTATCCATTGGGGCCTGAAAAAGGGAGCAAGAGATCCAATTGGGGGTGCCACACGGTCCTCCACGAAATGAAACAAAAAAAGGAATGAAAAAGGACAGAAAGGAGACAGTACAGGACTAGGAGAGAGGGACCTAGAAAGGTCGAGGTAACTGTAAAATAACCTAACAACATGTTAGACACCAAAAGCAGGCACCGGGATCTAAGCGGGTTCGATGGCATGTTGAACAACACAGTAATGGAAGTCCAAACTGTAAAACAAAACCAGCAGCTTATACAATCACCACAAAATAACAATACAAGAAATAAAACACTTGTAGGCCTAGTAGGGGGTAAAGGGTGGAACATACTATGGCCCACCCAACCCGGGCCAAATATTAACGATTTATAAAATGAGGCAGGGCTGTGAGTGAAGGCAGAACGGGAAGGGGGGGTGGAGAGGGAGTGAAGGGGGGGAGTAGGGGAAAAGAAGAGGGGGAGAAGGAGGGGAAGGGGGGAGATAGGGGGAGGGAAGGGGGATAGCATACGGAAGAGAGGGAGAGAAAACAGGGTAGATGCCTTATACATTAAGTATGAGACTACAACAGGGCTGTGCAATTAACGACCTGGCATATGGTATGGCAACCTTCGAATCCCTTAGGTAGATTAAAAGAGGCAGTCACTTCAGTCATCAGGTGATCTCAGGAGAGGGATAGAACGAGGAATCTTTCTCTTCAGCTTATGTTGCCATAGATGATCAGTTGGTATGATAGGCAGGCCGAGGGTTGGTGATTTCAAAGGCCAATCCGCGAGGCTGATGGATGGGAGGTCCATGGACCCTAGGAAATTAGGTAAGTCACCCAGAGTGCGGAACACTGCAGATTTTCCATTGTGAGTCGCCCGTAGTTGGAAGGGGAAACCACATGAATACTTGATGTTCTTGGATTGAAGAGCTGAGGTGACTGGTTTGAGAGCTTTATGCATAGCCAGAGTTTGGCAAGATAGATCAGGATGCAGCAAGACCAATGTATTGTTGAAAAGAATCTGATCTTGATTACGTGCCGCTTGTAAGATCTCAGCTTTCGTCTTGTAAAAGTCAACTCGACATATAATGTCCCTTGGAAAGGCCGCATCAAGGTTCTTAGGGCCTGAGGCCCTGTGTACACGATCAAGCTCCAAAGGAGAGTCCTTAGGTTTTTGAAGTACCTGATTAAAGATTGCTAAAGTGACTAACTGTAAAGCTTTGGAGTCAATGGTTTCCAGGATCCCTCTTATCCTAATGTTATTGCGTCGGTTACGATTTTCCATGTTGTCTTGTTGATAGATCAAGTGGTGAATCACGACTATATGCTTGTTCAAAGCCACTTCGTGGTTGTTCAGGGCTCTAGCATATTCCTCCGTGACTTGTTCCACATCTTCTAATCTGGGACCCACATCTTTTTTCAAATCAGCTATCTCTTCCTTGTAGATGTGTTCAAGCCTAGTGATGAGAGATTCAAAGTCCCTTTTAGTGGGTAGAGATTTCGAGAAGGACTCTATATCCCAGCCATCCCTGGAGTACAGAGAAGCTTGTGAGGCACTTCTGGAGGGAGGGAAGAGGCTGTCTGAGGCAGAAGGGGAAGAAGTGCGGACCGGGGAGCCCACTTGCAGAGCCGAGGCTGCTTATGAAAGAGATGGAGGAGCAGGCGGCATCTTTGATGAGCATGGATGGTGGGAGGCAGAGGCAGAGCGGGTAAAAAAGTCATTTATGTGAGCTGAGCTGCCACCCTTACTACCTTCCCTGTTGCCTGTCTTACCCATCTGTGGGGTTCAAAGCCAAAAAAGAGGCAGTAGAGCCCTTTTGCAGACATTAGAAGACCCGGGTGAGCAGGAGCCTGGAGCCAAGAGATGTCACCGTGCCATGCGACAGGCCACACCCCACCCCACCCTTAACATTATTAGGTCCATGTAACTTTGGTTCATATCCTTGCCTTAATTATATCCAATGTAATAGCATGATCAAGGGAAAATCCATCCCTCATCCTCACTTAGGTTATAGTATATCCATCAAGGACCATTATACCTGTCAAACATCATTTGTGGTATACATAATAAAATGTCCATGTGGTTTGTTATATATTGGTGAGACCACCTAAAAGGTAAAGGATAGAATAGCTAGACACAAGTATTCTATTAGAGACAAACTTACTAAGCTACCTTTAGCCAGACACTTTGTTAAAAAAGGTCATACTGTTTCTCAACTTAACTTTACAGTCATTGAAGGGATTCCTAAGAACAGACATGGAGTGTCAGGGTCCTGTCCACGGCAGAAGTTCTGGAAGATCTAGCATTTCTACCAGTACCCTGCATGGCTGCAGAAGCACACATCAGCCTCAGTTTGGTGCCAGACGGCCTTTATAAGGAGGCTTGTCACTTCCTCAAGTTGCTGGATGATCTCTAGCTTCCCATGCCTTGTTCCTGTTTCCTGTTTCGTGTGATTGTGACCTATGATCTCCTGATACCGACTCGGCTTGCTCCTGGACCTGTCTACTCTGCTTTACCTCTGATCTGACCTCGGCTTGGCTTACGAATACTCTCTCTCTCGTTCCTCTGTGTATGACCTCGGCTATCCCACCTGACTATGTCTGCTCTGATTCCCACCTGGTACTTGACCTTGACTTGAACCGAAACCCCGGCAGTGCTTGCATACCACGCACAGGCGCCTCCTGTCTGCAGACCTATCTCCGTACACCAGCTTTGCTTCTGAGTGCTGTGCTTCTGAGTGGACCACCAACCAGCACTCCTACAGGCGACCTGTGCAACTTTGGGCCTGACTCCCGCTGTTCCACTCCAGGGGAGTCCGGAACTTAGCCGCAAGTGAAGCCCTCTCACCATTGGCCTCCATCACCAGGTACGTGATATGGAGGTAATAGAGAATTACAGATTAGACAATGGAAGGTTCAATGGAGTAATCATTTGGATACACTAATCCCAAATAGATTAAATTTGGATTTCAATCTGTACTTATTTCTTTAATTTCTTTCAAATATTCAGTTTTCTTTTTTTTCTTTGTATATATATATATATATATATATATGTGTGTGTGTGTGTGTGTGTGTGTGTGTGTGTGTGTGTGTGTGTGTTTTCTTTTTTTAACTTTTCTTCTTTTTTTTAAATGGTGTATATATGTGATTTTTATAACAGGTACTTATGTTTGCATTCTACGTCTTTGATATGGAATTTTGACAGAATTTTCACTCTGAAGCAACCACATTTACCAGAAGATGTTTACCTGATTTGTGTTTGATTTGTGGTTAATTATATAATTGATTACAATTATGTTGTTTGTGTAAATAGATTATAGTTGTATTTCTCATTTCAATATGTGTTCTGATCTGAAGAAGGTTTTTATCCCAATAGCCCAAAACCATTTGTTGAATACTGTTCAACAGCTAAAAGAAAATAAAAAAATGTAAATCATGACAAAATTTAAAAAAATCTAAAATAATAAAAATATTATATTATGTAATTATATGTAAATATATATAATTATGACTGTCTGTCAGTATTGCTGCCCACACCTTATGCACAGCACAGATTTATATATTTGTATGTATTAATACTTGTGGGAATAAATAAGGTGTGGGCAGCAGTACTGACAAATAGTCAATTCACTAATGGTTCAAAGGTTCTTTGGAATATAACTTTTTATTATTTTAATTTTTTTAAAATGTTGTCATGAAATAATTTTTGGTACTTGTTAGAATATCACTTACATTGGGATTAATATTATAAATATTATACTCTCCCATAGATTGTTTAAGGTTACTTATATCCATTTTCCATGCATAGTGTACTTTTCATATAAGATGATATGTGAAAGAGAAAATCTTGTCATTCATCCAACTCTGGCCCATTTACCGATCATCTTACATGCAATGTAAAATATGCTCAGGCCTTCCTCAGTGGATGAGAGGGAAGGAGGGAGCAGGTCTCCATCAAAAGCTTATTTTTTTTAATTCAGCCCAGGGACCTGAACTTATTAACCCTCATGTGCAGGTTTCCTCAATGGATGGGGGGGACCTCTTAATAAGCTTCTTCTATATTGCATTCAGTCTGGAGACGCAAACCTACTAAGGCCCACAGTGCTGAAAGTTCAGCTCCAGAGAGAGGACTGAGAACCCTGTACAGACAATTTCCACAGGATTCAGAAGCCTTAATGATGTGGGACATCCTTTACTGTGGGTAAATTAGATCAATAAAGAGGTAGGAGGAATACATTCGCTAAACTTTAGCTTTGTGCTGAACATTCTCAGCCTCAACTGGCTGTGGCATTTTATTATCCTGCTAAAAACACAGAAACAAAAGAACAAATGTTGCAATCACAGTATTAAAATAAAGAAAATGATTTCTTTACCTACTATATATAACAGCTAATGCAAAATATATGCGACCCAAGCCCCTATAACTTCAAACCTAAAAGTAATGGAAGGAGGGGCATACAGCCAATTAACAATGGAGGGTGCTGGAACTCTCAGCCATACAACTGAACCCAAGAGAGGTAATTTGTTTAAAGGGCAAGTGGTGTAGTGTTTCCAGTCTGCAGCTTGCAAGGGTAGGAATGCATTAATAGCAGGAGAGCTATTTTAATAAAATTCCAAAGTATCATTTTGTTAATCTTCAAACAAGCAAATATTGGCTGCCATGAAATTTAGCCATTTTACTAATTATGCCTTCCCTATATCTTACCTATCTGTGGTGATTCTCCAAAGTAGGCCTAATGTATGTCACATACCCTGTGTTTTCACCCACCTTGACATTCTGCTACCTGCCTGCTTGATAGACATAACTGCATGCATGATGTGCTCCAGGATCAGGCTCCCATAAGAACCTGATAAGCCCAATGAGCTTCACAAACAGAAATAGGTTGATCACTGGTGATTTTTTTTTTCAATTTATTTAGAGGTTCAGGAAATCAATAAACAGTTAGCAAATCATTAGACATTAAAAAAAGTAATTTTTGTGCTACATCATTTCATGTTTGTGTTAATTCCTATCCTTTTTTTTATACATATACCATACAAATTTCAAAAATGAATGACAATATATAAAGCAAAAACACAAAGCTAAAATAAGAGTGTAAGATAATGAAAGTTTAAAAATAAATAATGTAAAATGTCATGTTCCACTATTCCAAATGTAATGCATTTTCATAGGATAAGAAAACAAATCAATTGCTATATCAGAAAAGTAAAAAAAAACAAAAAACAAAATCCAGAAGATGGTGGATTACATACCAGCTAATAATAAACATCAATCTTTCCCAAGTATAATGGTATATATACAGCTCTATCCAATCTTCTGTGCTAACATGCTGTCAAACCTAGTCCCTGTGAGCCAGCGTGTAAAGACCGGCTAGCCACAGGGATAAGCAGCAACCCATCCAGCAACACTGCTCTGGAGATGCACTATGAAAACAAATTAAATAACATGAAGAAAAAAGTTTGCATAAAAAAAAGGCAATACGAGTTCTGCTTGAAGTTAAAAATAGGCTTTTTTATTTTTTTGTAGTTTTAGATAGGGAAAGGCAGAATGGTTGAACCCCATCACTTTATTTTTGTCCCCCATTGGAATTCAATGTCCTGGAGAAGCAGAAGGAAGCATGAAGAATTCTCTACAAAATTGAAAGGAATTGTTCTCTTAGACAGTTATAACTGGGACAGGTGTCTTGCCCCTCTTGTTGGCAACTCTAACATTTTCATTTTGAAATTGCTTTCTGTCTCAGTGATAATTGATCTGGGACAACAGTAGAAAGTGATTCTGCCTAATCTGAACACAGGCAGCAATAGAAACTTAACAGGAAACTTAATCTATCCATAGCATAGCCAAAGTCTGCACTTTATTAAAGAGTTAATAAGATAATAGGTTTGCAATTTGTTTTTTTAAATAACAAACATGTCATGCTTTCCTGCTCTTTGCAGTGGTTTTGCACAGAGCAGCCCTGATCCTCTTCTTGTCTCCCCTGCTGTCACACCTGCATCCTCCCCATTGACCAATGTGCCCAATAGCAAGCCACTTGCTAGGGGGGCACTGGAGTGTGCTCGCTCCCACGCCCCGCTCTATGCATCCATAAGACTGCTCTCTCCTCACTGGATGTGATTGACAGCAGTGGGAGCCAATGGCTCCCACTGCTTTGTCTCAGTCAGTGAGGAGAGAGACCTGGGACAGTCGAGCCTCCTGCGCACATCACTGAATCGAGAGGGGGCTAAGGTGAGTATTGGGGGAGTCTGTAGGGGAAGCAGCACATAGAAGGTTTTTTACCTTCATGCATAGAATGCATGCCTTTACAACCACTTTAAATAGGACACAAATTTTATTTTTTTTTTTAAATCACTTTAGGTTTACTGGGGCTGATATTATGAACATATCAAAGGCAAGCAGTGTTTATTAGAGCTGCAACAAAAGAAATTCCATCAATACTTTTAAAATGTATTTATGAATGAACAATGTAATGGCGTTTATACTTTTCAATAACACAACAGCTGCTGTCAGTGCTTTTGAAAAACAGAAGTACACTCAAATTACTCAAAACAACTTTTGTTGGGCATACCTCAGGAAAGTAGTTAAAATATCACTGATTTTTTTGTGGTGAAAACTGAGGTTCTATGTGGCATTTTAGCAAGGGAAAGGAAAAAGCCATCTGAGTTGAAGATAAAATAATAATTCATTAAAATAAACTCCAATCATTAAAAGATAAATGAAAATAAAGATAAGCTACAACTAAATAAATAGGTTGATGAGAAGAAATAATTATGGCACACCTTTGCAAAATCTCGATATTTAAACTGATCGTTTTAAAGATAAAATGAATAAAAGGTATTGAACACAGATGCAATAACTATCAGAGCTTAATGAATTCACTTAAATATAATTTTAGTTCAGTAAAACCTTCCTGATAACTGAATTGCTTTGACAAGTAAACCAGTATGGGGTACCTGTCAAGTGAGCACCACCCTGTAATCTTAATGGCAAGGGTACCAGTTTCCAATTTCCCTATGCTCAATATGTCTATAGGACTACAACTAATTTGGTACCCTTTGTATAGACTGGAATGTCATGGGAACTCATTTCTTTTTATTATGGTAGTTACCTGGGCTAGTACAAGTGTACACGACTAATGCCACTAAAGAAGGAGAGAGAGAAAAAGAATGAGGCTGCTATTTTATCAATCTGCTCCCAAGGGAGGAATTAGAACAATGGCTGAGGATCTTAAAAGAAGCCTGTAGTTTGTTAATCAAAGAGCTAAGGGTGTGGAGAGGCAGTCATCCTTGTGCCTACAATCTTCTTGATAACCAACTGCAGAAAGCATAGTGCTGGGTTGATAAGTGTCTGCATTCAAAGGACCCTCTTCACACTGCAGGGAGGATTTAACTAATGATTCAATTAGAAAGCTTATAGGTGAGAAGTTGTATCCATCTTTAGTAGCAAGGATATTTCAATCAGGAGACTACTGATACATAATTTATGATTGTCCTAAATGTTTCCTTGTTGGTATGTCTGATCTGCAAAGAAACATAAAAGTAAGTAATATAAGTAAACAAAAAAGTGTAATTTGCCAATTCTCCAATTATTGTGGTTTTAACCTTTTGCCGCCCGGCCAATGGCCGTTTGGCAGCATTACATTACATTACATTACATTGAGTTTATATAGCGCCAAAGGGTTTGCTCAGCGCTGTACAATAGAGGGGGGGACAATACATGAAACATTACAGCAGCTACGAACAGCACACGAGGGGTAAGAGGGCCCTACTCTTTCGAGCTTACAGTCTGGGAGGGAGGGGGTAGTGGTACAGGAGGAAGTGGCTGTGGGGGATGGAGTGGTAGGAGGAATGAAGGAGAGCAGCAGTTAGGTGAGGGTGGGGTAGGCTTCCC